CAAGGATTCTGAAATGGTGATTGTAATGGAAAGAAAGGATGGCTGTCATCAGATAATGCCAAGTTCATGACCAAGTAATCTAGGATTGGAAAAGGCCGGGGAATGATGAATCATAAAGCACAGTTTGTGAAATGGGAGACAGATCTGAGAAGATGTTTATAAAAGGGATGATTTGGATTAAAGAGCAGAGCACAGGGCCCTAAGTTCAAATAGAAGATAACAGTGCTCGCTGGATTCATCTGAACAAATCATTAAATGTATCTCCCTTGGTACAGTTCCTTGATTTCCCTTTTATGTCTGGTGGTGCAGAATAGGAGGAACCCTTCTCTCAGTTCTAGATGAGTTCTCAACTCTCGGTGCATCTGAGAGCAAGCTTAAGTTTTCTGGTGGTGATGTTATGCATGCTAGTTCTCATTCATGATGATTGCACAAGTATATCAGATTTATAAAGTGATTATAAATGCCCAGCACATGTGTCTGTAATGTGTTTATCAAGTTTAAATTTAATTTAATGCCATAAGAATCAAAAATGATCTGGTCCCAGTACTTGCACAAAGGGGAGAAAACTTTGGAAATAAAACAACATTTTAGATTCCCTTGTCTCTCCTGCCCTGCAGTCAGAAGGTTCTGCTTTGATAGCACCTTGGGCACTTTCCCCTCTACTTATAAGACTGGTACCTAAAAACTCATGCACAAGACCCTCAAGATCCATGAGGAATCTTCACCATTTGGGTAAAACTCCCATTGATCCTTTATTGCTTTTCTTCCATTCTTTTCAACAGGAATGGTTGAATTACCATAAAAGTATACAATTTTATTTCCAGGCAACTATGTATAGAATTGGATTTTATTGTTTGTTTTCCCAGCAGCTTTTGTTTCCCATTTTGGAAATACAAATGGACTAAAACTCTTTTGCTGAACTAATTCTTAGTACTAAAAATTTGCAAGTATTTGAACTGCATAAAATTTATATTGTTGATGCATGTTGTAAGCAATGCAAAAGGGATGGGTATGTTGGTATTTGATACCTTATTGTATGATCCTTGATGGAGACACCTTGGAGAAAACTCAAAGCAAGCTGCAGCTTGACTTTGGGCAGCCCAGCAAAAAGTTTGAACCTGGCCTAAGTCAATATTTAAATAGAGTATGTACTAAATAGATTTCTGCTGGTTTGTATGTTGCCATTTATCTAGTCAGTCACTAGATCAGAGTAATAATTTACCCCAGGACACTTGATAGTAGCTTTTACTAATTGGTGGAGAATTGATTCTGGGTATACTTTCAGGCTACTAAAGTGCTACAGATTCTAGTTATGTGTAAGTCTGCAGGTTAGTAATGTTAATGGCCTCAGAAGCCTTTATGGACTCAGATTGCTCTGAACTCAGTGCTTCAGGAAAATGATCTCACCAGTTATTTAATTGAATCCTCTATATACATACCTGGTTATTCAAACTTTGTATTATTGAATATTGTGGATACTCCTCAAGGTTTTTCTGTGAGTTTTCTTGCGATGTTCCATGAGGTTTGTTGAGATGGTGTATTAAAGGTTGTTTCTGTTGCCTACACTATTATAGCAAAAAATCATTGTTGTTGCTGGATAGAGGATTACCTCCATTAATAGCTAGATACTTGTCACTATGATGAACTATATCCTTGACCCACCAGTGTTTTAGCTTGCCTTATCTCTTGAGTCCAGTGGCTGCTTATGCCAGAGTCAAAGTGAAACTCTGAAAAGTGCTGCATGGGCACAGTTGACTTAATTGCACCATTGACACAGAGCTCTGTTGGTCAGCTTTTGGTAAACTCTGCATGGATGGATGGATGGACAAATGCTTTGTGTTAATCATGTGCATACTCCAAACTCTTGATTTGTGTGGTTATTCTTAAGATATCTTTCCTAAGATAATCCCAGATGCTATTCCAGATAGCAGCCTCTAAGGGCAAAGGAACTTCAGAACTATGGATTGTCAGTTCTGATCAAACTACAGTTTGCCTGACTGGTTGCCTGGTTGCTTGTGTTTATTGTAAAGAAGAGATTGGGTTCTGGAGAGTTGAAAAGTGAAATACCCTTGTAAGATCAGTGGGCCATCATACTGTGGAAAATTAGCAATAGGGCAAAATGGCATATGTTGGAAAGCCTTCCCATAAGAATTGTAAGGTTCACAGCTTCTTCCAGAAACAGAGATGTTTATCTGGACCAGTTTTCATGACTGCAGTGCAAAATGCATTAATAACAAGTGGTGGTGGTGATCAGAATTGTAATTGTGGAGTAGCTGCCATGAAAATATATGATATGGCTCTAGGCCATGAAACCTTATGCCACAGTAAAATTTGCTAATCTTTAAGGAGTCCCAAGGCCCTTGAATCATCTTGTAAATAGTCTACCATAACACAGAGAGCCCACTTGTACTTGTATACTACTTGTGACCGCCACTGAAGCAATTTGGGAGATGGGCAATGCTCAGATAGAGGCTGTGTTTTGTGAACTACTACCCCATGTAGAATCTGGAACAAGGCTTCTGTAGTTACAGCAGTAGACGCATATATAGCCCCCACATGGAGAGGGAGTGGCAATGGTGTTTGCACAGAATCACAAATTGAGCTTCCAAGGAATCCGCCAAGCTGGAAGCTATTCACAGCAGTTCTCCTAACTAGCCCTTGCACTTGTTGAGGAAGAACTTTAGTGAAGGCGGCTGGAATGTCCAAAGAGCATCAGTAGGCTCAGTAGGTGAATGTGACTACCCATTTTTAGAACTGTTTTATCCAAATTGGGAGCTTTTATATCTTTTAAAAAATACAAATATTGAAATACTTATCAAATTCTGATTCTTGAAAGAGGACTGTGAATTAATAAAATTTGTCTGACCAGGTTTTTTTCAATAAAGATCCTGCATGCATTGTTATACTACATAGCTTTGCATTAATTTACTTTTCCCAAGCAACAAAAATCTCTCTTGAGGTATTCAGACTTGTATGAAAAAAAATTATCCAGAGAAAATGTGACATGTTCAGATGAGAAGAAAGGTATCTTGTAACATGTATATGTGGACTATTATGCACTACTTCCTCCATTTTAACTGTTCATACACAGTTTCTAAATGTTTCTTCTGTCTGAGAGGATCACATTGCTCATTCACACACTATCTGCAAGCTGGTGTGCCTTCCTTCTTGAACTTTTGGCCTGTCTTATGTGTTACTGCTCCAGTTCTGTGATGGTCCCTTCTAAATACCCTTCCTTTCCCAGAGCGTATAAGTTCTCGTAAACAAGAACTGTGACTCTTCTTTCCATTATACATGTTTGTAACTCTGATACCATGGATTATCAATGGCCCCTTTTTATATGAGTTTGGTTGCCTTTCCTGCTTATTAAACAGTGGCATTTCCCTCTCATTTCACTTCTATTTACAGATTAACCAACAGGTCACAAGTCTTTTTATAGCAATTCTTTGCTTCTTTTCATATAATGTACCACAGTAATTCCTAAACTGACAATAATATTTACTGGAACTAAATAATGTTTGCTGGAAACTCAAAGTATCCACCCATACAAGAGGCTTCCTTTGTATGGATTACTGCCCTGGGCTTGCCATTTGTCAGTTTAGAGGCATCCTTAGAACATACTAATATGCAAGTAGTATCATAGAGGGTGGGCTGTACCATTGTTGAGTAATTCACTCTTACACATGCAAAAATTCAGAGTGGCCTCCACCAACAATGGGTTCCTAGATGCTATTGGACTATTGTCATCCTCTATACCCAGAACGGTCAAGGATGAAGGATGCTAGGGATTATAGTTCAACTGCATTTGGGAATCCAACATTGGGAAAAGTTGCTTTCGAGCATTTAAAAGTGAGACATATACTTCCTCTTTTTCTTCAGGGAAAAAATATACTTCTTGCTAAACTGTGATATGGCTAACTATTACTGGCACACACCCAAGCTTTTTAAAAGATTCCTTGTACATATCAGTGGCACATATTCCACAATTTTCTACCTACCCTTGCCACTGGATGATCCAGGAATTAAAAAAAAAAAACTATACAGGATACCATATATATGGAGACCTTGCTTAGAGATTGGATCTATTTGCCTTTCACACGAATGGGAAAAAGCTATGGCCAAGATGTACACTGCTGAGTGATCTGCAAAGATATTAATAGTCTCATTTCCATTATGACAGAATTCCAGAAACTTTAGTGTTTTTTATAGTAATACAAGAAGCTTATTGGCAGCCACTTTCTCCATAGTCATTGTGTCAACCGTCTTATTCTCAAATACATTGTACATTACATATCACAATAATGGGTTGGAGCCAAAGGTTTCCTCTGCAAATGGAAGTTGTCTTTTCCACAGATGGAGGAATCCTTTGAACCAAACCCAACATATTTAATATTTGATGAGCTGTCTTCTGAAAACAGGCAGTTGGTCCTCCTTTTTTGCTGTAAGATGCGTTTGTTTTCTAAACATGCGGTGTTTTCTATGATCAATCCATTTAATTGCCCCCATCACAAAAGGACACACAGAATACCCAGGTTTTGAAAACCCAAGCTAAGCTTAAAGATGTTTCCTCTCCTCATTTTTAGTAACCTAATATTGTCCACCCTTCTCTGTGTTTTGACCTCTTGCCTACATGTGTCAGTTAGGATGAAAAATCTGCATGGACAAGAAATGTCAAATCTTGGCAGTTTTTCTTGTTCCCAGTAACTTTTCTGGCCCACACTGTTTTCCCTCTCAGCGCCACAGTCTGCTCTTCTCCATTGCTCATGTTGACGAGGGATGTTCCATCTGTAGACTGCTCCCCTTGTTTCTGCTTCTCCATTTCTCGTATTATTTTTCTTTTCTACTTTCTTCTTGTTGTTTCCTTTCTTTCTCACTCTTGTGCTTTTTTGTCCTTTTGCTTGTCTGTTTATTTTCACCCTGTTTCTCCTCCTCTCTTCCTCTCCACTTCCAATGTCCTTTGCCTTTCCCTTCTTCCTCTCCCATCTTTGGTCCTATTGAAGTTGAGCCCAATGCCGGGACACCACGCCGTAGACCTCTCTCCTTCTGCCCTTGCTGTGCCCACGAAGGTAATGTAATTTCTTGCATTCCCTCCATCTGCTTTCCAGACCACAGTAAGATTGCCATAGAGATTCTAGTCAGCTAGAGATAATAGCAAGTGGTTCACTGCCAAACTTTTCCTTTCTTCCCATCATCTCAATCCTGTTATGAAGTGTGTCTGGCAATATCTTAAAGGTACAGTATCCCTTTTGCAGTTGCGCATTGTGGGGGTGAGGGCAGTTTCTGAGATGGTGGCAACAGTGTCACAACCTAAAGCTTCTGTTTGGTGTTTGAATTTCTCAAAGGGATCTCTGCAGAAGTGGAGGTGAATCTCTTTCCTTTAAAAGAAGAGAAAGCATTCTTGTGGATTAAAGGAATACTGTGTCTTTTGCAACTGGTTTCCCAAGTTCCTGTGACTTTGAAAAGGCAGCCTCCTTACTGACCATAGTACAGACTAGTCTCCTGTAGTCTGTATCTTCTTAAGCATATTCTTGATATTATCCTGGATGGACCTAGTTTCCCATTATGAAGTTTTTATTTCCCAGGGCATGGGGGAAAGGGACGGAATGTGACTGCTGTGTGTAACTTCTGCTAACCACTGTATCTGCTTTCCATGGTGCGCTTTCATCAAATGTTCACCCTCCCTCCCCACCCCTACCGTCTCCCTTGGCTCATTGGCTGTCACAGAAATAAATGAAACAAATGAACACAAGTTTTTATAGGTCAGTAGTAACATGTATTTGGCTGTTTTGCTAAGAAGCTTGTCTCTGATAACCTTAACAGTGGAAAGGGTGGGGAGACTTCCCAGTGCTTTTCATGGCTCCACCATACTGGGCATCTGCATGTGTAAGCTTCGTCTCTCTTTCCACCTTGGCTATGAGGGCACCTTGTGCAGAGATGCTTGGAAAGGCATAATTAGAGCTGAGCCATGGCTAGGCATAGCCATGGACAACCAGGATCTGTAATGGGTTAGGATTATAGTTTGTTCTAGTGTTTTAGAGGACAAGAAGCTGGGAGAATGAGGAATGGAAGCAACTACCGAGAACCTTTAGAACAGACCTTGGGTAAAAAAACTTTCCAAGCAGGGAAGATTGACTGGTGTAATTTCAGTCATCTAAGAATGGCAAGCACCTCCACTCAGACATAACTGGGGAATTACATATAAAATCCAAGAAGATATACAAGCAAAACACCTGGGCAAAGAGTGCCACACCTTGATTGAAAATTAGGTATGGTACCAGAGATGCAGGTGGCGCAGTGGTTTGTGCTGCTGGGCTGGTTGATCAAAACGTTGCCAGTTCAAATCAGCACAATGGGGTGAGTGCTCCGTCCCAGCTCCTGCCAACCTTGCAGTTCGAAAGCATGCAAATGCAAGTGATAAAAAGGTACCACTTTGGTGGGGAGGTAAACAGTGTTCCGTGCACTTCGGTGTTTAGCCATGCCGGCCACGTGACCAAGGAGACTGTCTACGGACAAATGCTGGCTCCCTCAGCTAGGAAATGGAGATGAGCACCGCCCCCTAGAGTCAGACATGACTGGACTTTAATGTCAAGGGGAAACCTTTACCTTTTTATGGTACCAGAGCAGATTAAAATGCTTCGGGAGTGTATCACATCTTATTACTCCACAATGAGTTCTTTCTGGAATAACCAGAGCAATTTCTAATATAGATATATGCCAATTACCCATCAATAATCAAAGATTTTGCATTATAGACCTTGGTCCTCCTCAGAACGTGGGTTCATATCAGTTGAGAACTTGTCTGTGGTATGTATGAAAATGAGGAATTAATGTGGCAGATGGTGGTGATTAAGAACTTGACAGTGGAATTTCCACATACTAGGTTCCTAAGTGATTCAGTCTTTTTAAAAAATGGACAACTTTGCTTATGGTGATACTGAAATACTCTTAGTGCACAGAATATTTAGCCACTAAATGCCCTGGGCCCACAGTCATTGGGCCAAGCCTCATAATCAGGAATACAAGCCAGGGCTTCACTTGCCATTTGAACTGATTTTCAGAATTCATTTTATTTTATTTATTTAAGGTTTTTCTATGCCATCCATTACTAAAAAAGTCTCTGGATGGCTTACAAGGAATTCAAGCCTAAAAGGTGTTTCCTGTGAGAAGCTCCTATTGTGACTTAGTAGATATGAGTTGTGGATGTAGCTCTTGACAATGTAGAAAACCTGACAAACATAAGATACCTATGCTGTGTATTTCACATCAGGCTTAGCTGTTAGACTTACTAACTGCAGGTAGGTTTGGTTTTCAACTAAGCTTTGAATGAAATACTTTTCTCCTGCTTTTTATATTAGCAAATTCAGGTTTTCTTCTCATGTCATTTGATCATGGAAGTCTAGACTTGAGCTGGTGAAACTGCACTTGACAGTAGATGTATTTATACTTCAGAAGACTTGTATATATATATATATTCTAAAAAGTGAGGGGCCATTGAGGCAGATCAACTTGGTATGAGTGATAAAGCAAAGAAAAAGGAAACATATTGGTGTAGAGATCAGGAACTAGTTGCTTTCAGTCATTAAGGTAATGTAGAAGGCCTTACAGAAAAAAATAGCATTCTGTGCAGGACTCCCTAACTGTTATGGGGCATATTAACCTATAGATGGCTAACATCTGTCCTGAAACAGTCCCACAAGGAGATACTAGTACTCAATTCATACTCTGGCATGTCCACTAATCACTTGTTAGTCATAGGTCAAATTGACAATTGAGTGAGTAGGCATGAAAGCTTCTGATGCATTTGAGAACCCATAAATCTAATTGCCATCATGAAAAATTATAAAAGAAAAAGCATCACTTGGCGTTTTGGCTGCATCGGCCTAATCCAAAGCTGTGTTGAAATGTCTGAAATTATCTAAACTAAAAAAAATAACAAACAAAAAATACTGTGTAGCATACTGTAGTTTCAACTCTTTAACCCAGATGTGGGAGGAGCATGGGAAGATAGATTCAGGATGCATGGCTGCAGTGGAGATTTTTTTTACAGGAGGTGACCCTCCTTTCTGTGTACTGTAGGCAAACTGAGATCTGATGCGAGTGCTCTGGCAGCATCTTCCTTGGCTTTCTTTGCACATTTTGCCCCCTTCCATTTTGTTCCTGCCTGCCTGTTGGGCTTGTGGAAATGGCAGCAGGTCTGTCTGAAAGCTGACCCAGATTCTTCTCTCGGCAGGCATGGGGAAGAAGGATGACCCCAAGCTGATGCAAGAATGGTTCAAGCTGGTGCAGGATAAGAATGCCCTGGTGCGCTATGAGTCAGAGCTGATGATATTGTGAGTAAGCAGTGACTTTCTGCACAGCAGGAACTTACAGCACAGCAAACACGAAGGTGCCTGCTTTGAGACAGGCAAACTGTCATAGAGCTACTGTTTGCTTGCACCTTGGCCGTGCAGATGTTGAGCAGATGGGAGACTTAATGCTGTCCGATAAAGACCTGTAGTAGAAGATCTCCTTTGAAAGAGATAAATGAAAGGTTCACATATTATAGAAAGGCCCCTACATGAGACTTTCTCCCAGTTAGACTAGAGGAGGGATGCAGACAAATTCCATTTTGAAAATGTTATCAAGGGCTGCATTCCAGTAATGGGTGCAGACCAAAAAGACCAATACATATTAGCTTAAAGCTCTTACCACTGATAACTGAGCCTTAGGAGAGACATCTCAGCCTCTTAAACAAGGGAGGAAACAGCACAAAAGCTGGGAAACTACTGAATGATTGGTGGTCAGGGAAGAGGTGAGGGGCATCTCAGGGCAGATTTGACTGCTGGACTTGAGGCCCCCTGGGAGTAGGCAATACTGGACTAGGTACACCAGTGGCCTGATTCAGGATAAAGCGGCTTCCTATGTAGTCAGCATTCCCAGCAGTCTTCAGCACACTTTCCCATCAGGCTCTGCTACAAGCTTCTGATCATGCAGGGCTTGACTTGGTCCAGGCTATCCATGCCACAGGACAACGTGGCAGAGAGGGAGCCAAGGTGGTGGAGCAGGCAGTAGCACTTCAGAGTGTAGATGGGGGTCATCATGTTTTAGATGCCCTCTTACATTAAAAATTTCCCTTCACATTAAAACCCAGCACAGCCGGCAGGTGCAGTTCAAGCCCTCTTCCTCTGGACTAGACTAGTTTTCTGTTTTCAAGCAGTATTGTATGTAGAAAGCATCCAGGCTGCAGTGGTGCAGTCCCTCCCACCACCCCAGTGTCATTTCTCTTGCATGGGCCCCCAAGCTTTCAAGAGAACTAGTGCAGTGGAGAGGCTAATATAAGCTCAAGAGTCTTCTGTTCATAAATCACAGCCACAAGTTCACTTAGGCAGCTTTAGGATGAGAGAATCATAGATTATCTTTGTGTATCTCCATTATCTGCAAAATGGAGGTAATCATACTGGAGTTCTGTTTTGCAGTTCTGGCAAAACAGAAATATGCCCATTCTCCTTTCCACCTTGCAGTGCTCGGGAGCTGGAGCTGGAGGACAGGCAAAGCCGATTACAGCAAGAGCTTCGGGAGAGGATGGCAGTCGAAGGTGAGCTCGGCAGATGTACTCTCATTCCCACTAGTTAGCCCCAAGTAAATGCATGGAAGTCTTCGTTGGCCTGCGTTCCCACTTCTTTTCTCTTTCTAGATCATCTAAAGACAGATGAAGAGCTATCAGAAGAGAAACGGATCCTGAATGAAATGCTTGAGGTGGTGGAGCAAAGAGATTCTCTCGTGGCCCTCCTTGAAGAGCAGAGGCTCCGGGAGAAGGAAGAAGACAAGGACCTGGAGGCTGTCATGCTTTCCAAAGGATTCAGCTTAAACTGGTCCTGAACTTAAGCCCATGCTCAGTTGCTGATCTACATTGTCTGGTTGGCATAAGCCAAGTTGGCCAGAGCTGCCCAAATGGAGGAGACATGGTGGTGCACGAGCCACTTGAGGGTTCTTACAGCACCTGAGCCAGAAGCTTCTTGCAAAGAGGGCTGGGTTCTACAGGCACCGAGTCCTGCATGAGTTCTGCAGACCCAAGCCAGAGAGAATGACCTGAGGTTGCGTGCCTTCCTCAAGGACCTATGCAAGAGGCCATTGAGTTTTTGTGTTCTCTGAGAGAGGCTAAAAAGAAGAAACTATTTTATTGTTGCTGTTTTGTTTCTGTTTTTTAAAAACCCTTTAACAAATCCAGGTGGGCTGTAGCGTGTCTGTTTTGCATTTACTGAGCTAGCTGTATTCTTGTGTTTGTTTGTCTGTTTAAATACGAAGGAGAGAAGTGGCCATTCTCTTCTGAAGCATTACCCTGCAGCAGCCCTTGGGAGAGCAAACCACTCACTACTCCAGAGCACACTGTGTATATGTTCAAGGTTCTACTCACCAAAGAAGCCTGAAGCTGCCATTGTTGTCTGGGCATGGAGAAGAAAGAGTGGACTGGAAACTTAGAAGGCTGTTTGACTTGAAATACTTGCCCCTCATGGTTCTAGAAAAGATACAGGCCCAGGCAGACATGCTGTCTTCACTGCAGCCTTCATAAGTTGCCATTGTTCTGAGAGAAGACCAGCATGTGAGCCTTCCCTTCCCTGCCTGCAGTGCTCTGGACTGAAAGGGACTGTTTCCCCTTCCTCGTGGACATTGGACTGCTCTGTTTTGAACTTTGTGATGATTTTGACACTGGAAAGTGCTGATTATGAAAATAGGTTTATTAAGACGAATTTTGTGGGTGCTCTTGGATGCTATTCCTTCATAACCCACGAGAGTTGGACCCTCAAAAACTGTTCAGAGGGTTTGTGTTCTTCACGGCTTGGGAGGATTATTCTTTACTTTTTTGCACGTTGGAAATGAAGCAAAAGACCTGTCCTTGCCCTTTAGTCACTTTAGATCCTTTAATGTCCATTAACTTATTTTTTAATACTTGAAAGAAAAATTGGTTTTGTACCTTTTTAAGAAGTGAGCAGACGAGTGAGTGGTGAATCTGTGTGCCTGCTGCACCCCCCTCCCCAGGTTCTGTGTTTGTTTTTAATTTGCTGGTCTCCCTTTCCCAGTATCTATTTATTAGAGTACTTATTAACGGTGTTACTGTTACACATTATATTTGACGTGAAGAGGAGATGCTTTTAAATTCCAGGCAATTGATTCTACTCTGGACTTGTTCCTGCACCATGTTGAAGGCCTACAGAAATATGCAGACAAGGTTTCCAAGCAGATACCTTTTTCAACAACTCCAGCATCTTTATGGGGAAGACTCAGAATCTGAGAAGTGATGACAGATATAATTTGTGCACATCATGTCTCTGTCTTTTCCCTGAATCTTAACAAAACTGTTGCTTATTTTAACCAATGCTGTGAGATTTTTGTAATGAAATGGTGGCATTGCCACTTTCCCCCATATTAAACAGAAAAACCACGCCGGCACTATAGTATCTGCCTCCAAGGGAAAGATTAGCACAAATTCCATTGATTCTGTCCCAGGCCTGCTCCTAGTTGGATCAGGGAGGGAACTGGTGGCCCTCTTCCAGTGCGACAGTAAATACGACATAACACAATAGACTTTTCTCCATCACCAGCTGAGAGGTTTCATAAGCACACTGCATCCTTTGCCATGTCTTTCTCAAATGTGCCAACCTTCAGCTTACATAGTTTTCCATTCTTGACGTTTTAGTCCTGGCTTTAAGGCCCAATTAAAAAAAACAAAACTCTGGTCTTAGTTTGAAAAGAAAAAAGGATATAGCTGATTTTCATCCACATGGGTGGTGGCAGCTGCTGCCACTGCTTCAAAAAGCTATTGGCAGTTTTGGGATGGGTTGAAACTCAGTCTTTGAAATAAGTCCTGTGTTGCACCTTAGCTTGCCAGATTCAATACAGAGCAAGGTTCCTGTTCTGATAATCATTTGTAAAAAGGAGAATTTGAGCCACTTCTATTTCCTCTGGTATTGCAGCAATGTAACCAGACAATTTGCTCCTACTGAACCCTGCATAGTTCTTGAGAGCATAGGAGTTCTGTCAGTCCAGTGACTGTAATGGCACTTCAGAAATTGCTAGCCAGATTCTGGTGAGGCAGTGCATAGGTCTTCCATCCTGTTGTTGACAGAAGCTACCTCTGAAAAAGACTGTACGTCTCCCTGTTTTAAAGGAAGCTTTGATTACAACTTTCTGTTTAAGAAAGTGGAAATTGATACGGCCTTTCATCAGCAGAGGCCTTTCTTCAGGATTGGACTGCTGTGCAATTGACTCTCAAAGGAACATAATGACTGTGGAGGAGTAGCAATTAAACTGTACAGGAAACTGTAAAAGGGTCACTTCAGAGCATATGTTCATCTCATTCTCAGCCAGCAAGAGCCTGCTGCTATTTAAACTGTCAAGATAGGTAGCTAAATAGAGAACAACTCAGGGCTGCTCCTGCAGGTTTCGCAGTTGCAATGAGGGGAGCCTTCAGCTAGTGTAGGTTGCCATGCATGCCACACCTGCTGAAATGCTCTCTGCTACTCAGTGAGTAAAGGAGCAAGGGCAGCCCTGGCCTCTCTTGTTCAAGGCACATGAGCCTTCAGCAAGGGCCTCCTATGTGCACGCATTTGGGTCCTTAGTCTAGCTCTCATATGGCAAATTGAAAGCACCTGTGAACAGCTTTCATGTGCCTTACACAGAAGCTCAGCAGGTGCATTTGTCCTCCCTTTTCATGCTATCTTGCATGTGCACCACAGGAAAGAGAGGAGCTATGCCTGATGTTCAAAGTTTCCCCGTCTCTTACAGCTGAAGAAGTCTAGGCAAAATCCAATACGTGTGAGATAAGAACCAAAAGATTAAAAGACATGATCAGTGTAATAGACATTTACTCCATTTACAGACCGCTGCTTAAAAAATAAATTCAGAGGCCAGCTATTACAACTTTACAATAGCACTAATCAGTTGCAGTTCTGGCAAAATTTCCACAGATCTAGGCCAGAAAGAGGAGAAGTGAAATGAGGGCATCTTTCCCTCTTCCAGACTTCTCAGTAATCATGTTGAGCAGGAGTCCATCAAATTCTTTTATAGCTCAGAGCTATAAAAGGTAGGAAAAAATTACGTACCCTTTCCTCCTAATTCATTATATGCAGAGAGGCCTCCTAGAAATGTTTTAAAAAGAAAAAAGATACTACTTGCTTTTAAATATGAAAAGAATTACTTCCCTATTTACTCAGCTGGGTAAATTAATACTTATCCCTGGTGGCTGCCTTCACTTTGAACTTTCATCTCTTCCATCTATAATTAAGATGATTACTTGGCTCAACATTTTGCTTCTTTTCAGCAGGTGATGGTATGAAAGGATATCTGATGCTTCCTGCTACTTAAAAAAAGTCAATAGCTTTTAATATTGTGGTGGCTAGTCAAAGGTTCCAGCCAAATCTTCCTATTAAATGATCCATCAGGAAAGCAAAAACAGGTCTGCTATCCATAAAAGTTTGACATTCATGAGATCTGAATATCCTTGCCTTAGAATAGAATAGGAATGTTCCTAGAATTACTATGGTGAACCCTTTGGAATTCATCTTAGTGAATCCACACTAAAGTTGCAACCCTTCCTGGGAACTTTTCTTGCACTGAAATATTCTGGTTTTTCTCTTCAAAAGCTGTGTCATGTGCTTCATCTTTTAACTGAGGGTTATTTCTTCATCTAGCTATTCTGATAAGTAACTTTTAGTGCCCTTCCTGCATTGTCATGCATTAGGAGGTGAAAGGCTTTTGAGAAAAAAAAACTTAAGAGATCAGGATTTCTAAATCTGTTTCCTGAAACCTAAATGTAAATTTCTTTAGTGTTCCTGTTTTCTCTGATAGAGGCTCATTTTAGCCTCTCAGTTCTCACTTATTTCTGTCCTCATTTTTGTCTGTTATCTATTGGCAATATTCATGTTTGCAGAAGTGGGTGCTATAAATGTAAAAGAAATTCAAACCACAAAGAATGGCAACTTTGGTCTACCATCACAAAGTTCACTGGCCTGCCTCCCCACTCCCTCCATTATATTTTGCATAATGCTGGTGTTACTCACAGTATCAAAGACGCAGTCTGCTGTTATCTACAGGTTCCTTCCCCACCCCCCAAAAAAGGAATTGCTAAATTGGCATCTCAGTCACCTTGACTTACTGGAGCAAATTTCCAAACATGTTAGGCTTCATTTTTAAAACTGACCTTTTTGAGGGATGTGGAGAGAAAAACACATCCTCTAAGCAGCTGTTTTCATTCCTCCGGCAGTTCAGAATTAGGCACTCATGGCACCCCCTTCAGTAATAAATTTTGAACTAGAGAAATAAAATAGGGAAATTGCTGGTATTTCCTCATAGATCAGTCAGGCAAAGTCACAAAAATCTTGTTTTGATCATAATGGCCATTTGAGGAAATTGAGCAATTTTGTTGCTAAAACCCAAGGTTAAACATATGGGTTGTGTGCATGGAAAGCAATCTCAGAGTGCTTACAGGAGCACTGGAAAAAAGGAGAAATGTTTTAAAACCCATGAAATCATAAAAGGATCATGAAATACCAAGACTGGGCTAATAATACCTAAGGTTATTTAGAAGAGCAGCTTTCTTAGAAGCCAGAGGGTGACTTTAAAATTAGATGCCAGAGGACTATTATATATGACATTTGTTGAATATTAAGAAATTGGAAAGGTAGAAATGCATATGTGGCATTAAATTGTCTTAATGGAAGATCAACATTCTCAATGCTCCTCAAGCTTCAACAAGGGAAGGTTAAAAAGAGGGAGAATGGAAAGTAAGTTTCCCTTTGTCTAGGATGGGCTAGTCTTGTACAGCTCTTGTTGGTTTAATTTGGTGTCTGCCATTCCTTGTATACAAGGGGTAAAATACATGGACATTTCTGCTGTGCCTGAAGCAGTTATTATAGAATTGAGAATATTGCTTACCCTTTGCATGGTTGACATGAGGATACCTTCTTGTGCTTTGAATTGTTCACTGTGAAGAGAATTGACCCCAATCAGATAAACGATCTTTCTTTCCCAGCAATGAAATGAGAACTACCTCTCTCTCAAATGGTGAAATTCTGCCCCTGGAACTTCAGTAGCTCAGCTAAAACTCCCATATTACTAGATGCATAGACTAGACGGGCTTTCTGTAGCTGATGGTAGCCCCAAAAGGAAGGATTGTGTTTCCTCTTCCACTGTTTAAGCACTTCCTGTAATACTTTCTGTCCACTGTGTTCAAACTTGCCATCAGTCAGGTTCGTTTGTTTGTCAAATGCAGTATCTGGCCTTTGATGTAGGACTTGGTGCTAATGCAGAAATAACAAGCACACTTGTTGCACCCTCTGGGTTTTTAACTCTTTTTTTAAGTACATCTAGATCAATAACATCTTGAAAATCCACAATTATGTCTAAAGTTGCATGACTGCAATTTTTTCTAAGGCAAAAAAAGTTGACCCACACCCAACTGGCTATTCCCTTCATTTTGATTTAAGAAAATGTATTTAACAGAACGTTTACATTTAGACTCTTCAGAGGAACGTAGTGTATAAGTTTTCCAACCTTGTGTTTTTTTAAAAAATTGCTAAGTTGGGACTGTTGTTGTTTGCAATAATAATTTAAATAAATCATGAAACAGCCTGTTTGAGGTAGGGGAGGGAATCTCTTGATGCATAATAAGATGGCAGAGTTTTTTCTAATTATTTCTGCCGCTGGGGCACTTGTACTGGGAATTCACAAGCAAGGTAGATGAGCAAATGAGAATGTCACTAAAAGTATTGGGGAATGTCATGTTCTTATGGCATTACAGTAATATAATTTTTAATATATAGAAGTATGTATGTGAAATCCAGTCCCAATGAAGGGATTTAATGTGGTATCTTCCCCTTGGGACAGTTGGGAACTCTGATATTCAGACTGTTTTACTGGTGTGTGTGCAGTGTAACAGAAATTTGTGTACTGTACCATTTCATGTCTAAAACGTACCCACTTCCTTTTACTTTCCATATGGTTGCATTTCATTCTGTACGTTCTTATGCACACTTGCTTTGTTGGTGTTGAGATTTTAGCACCTCAGGTCACCAACGAAACTAAAAGGAAAAAGGAAAAAAAATAAAAGTCATTAATTTTTTTCTTACCAAAGTTTGATTTGTTTCACATTTCACATAAACAGCACATTTGAAGGCGTGCTCTGCTCTTTGGTTCAGCTCAGTCATAAATGATGATTCATATTGTTTACCTGGGTCAGTACAATCATTTGTACTGGGTCAGTACAATCAATAGTAACTTGCCATAGTGTGCATTAAACTATTTGCTTAAGCAGATGAATCACAAGTTGGAATTAAGATTGCCAGGAGAAATATCAACAACTTCAGATATGCAGATGATACCACTCTCATGGCAGAAAGTGAAGAGGAACTAAGGAGCCTCTTGATGCAGGTGAAGGAGGAGAGCACAAAAATTGGCTTGAAACTCAACATTAAGAACACTAAGATCATGGCATCTGGTCCTTTCACTTCCAGGCAAATGGATGGGGAAGAAATGGAGGTAGTGGCAGATTTTATTTTCCTGGGCTCCAAGATCAGATGGTGACTGCAGCCAAGACGCTTGCTCCTTAGGAGGAAAACTATGGCAAATCTAGACAGCATACTAAAAAGCAGAGACATCACCCTGCCAACAAAAGTGCATATAGTCAAGGCTATGGTTTTCCCAGTGGCAAAGTATGGCTGTGAAAGCTGGACCATTAGGAAGGCTAAGCGCCGAAGAATTGAGGCCTTTGAATTGTGGTGCTGGAGGAGACTCCTGCGAGTCCCTTGGACCGCAAGGAGATCAAACCAGTCAGTCCTAGAAGAGATCAACCCTGACTGCTCTTTAGAAGGCCAGATACTGAAGATGAAACTCAAATACTTTGGCCACCTAATGAGAAGGAAGGATTCCCTGGAGAAGAGCCTAATGCTGGGAACAATAGATGGCAAAAGGAGAAGGGGACGGCAGAGAATGAGGTGGCTAGATGGAGTCACTGAAGCAGTTGGTGTGAGCTTAAGTGGACTCCAGGGGATGGTGGAGGACAGGAAGGCCTACGGGAATGTTGTCCATGGGGCTGTGATGGGTCAGAAGCGACTTCGCAACTAACAACAACAACAACGTTGCCTGTGTCATACTGACAACTGCTTAGGAGAATGTTAACATGCTTACACACCTAAATGGAAATCTCACAATGCAGGAGATGAGTAGAATTCTCCTCATGGCAAGATGATCAGCTTTCTAAGTAGTCATTTGAACACATTGACAAGTTACCTCTTGGGAAATGGTTGCCTACATGGGCCTTGACTCAAAGCACTGAGAATCCCAACTGAAACTAGAGACCCATCTACTACTTCCCACCATGACTTATCAGATGCTTCAAGGAAGCCCAGAAATTAGACCGGGGGCAACAGCATTTTCATGTTTATTCAGGAAGAGACCACTTCTGTTTCTGGACGTTGCCTATATTTCCCCTTTTGAAGTCTTCTAAGTTAATGGCCATCACCACACTTTGGGGCAGTGAATTCCATGAATTATTATTGATAGAAATACATTCTTTTGTCCCTAAGGAATGTTTCCAGATTGTAACAAAGACACTACTACACATCTTAATCTTCCTTTTCTCTTGGATTTTGTATGTAATGTCATTTCCCTGAACATTTAAGAACCTAAGAAGATCCTTGCTGGAACAGATTCAAAGCCTATCTGGCCCAGTATTCCTTTTCCAACAGTGGCCAACTAGGCACCTCTGGGAAGCCCATGATGTCATGAGAGGTAGCCTTTTCCTGGTGATATCTTCCACAACTGCTTTTTAGAGGCATGCTGCTTCTGATCCTGGAGACATTATGCAGCCATCCTGACTGCTAGCCACTGTCTTTTCCTCCAGTAATTTGTCTAATCCCTTTTTAAAACCAACTATGCAAATGAATGGCAACACGTTTTATGGTAGTGAATTCTGTAGGCCAACTAAGTGTTGTGTGAAAAAGTACTTCCTGTCATTTGTTTTGAATTGACCAGTTTCATTAGATGACCCTTCATCAGACCCTCAGATGACCCTGAGTTATTAGATACTAAATGGGTGCAAACCTATGTATGTTGGATAGAAAAAAAACCCAACTCCCAGCATTCCCGTTGGATTTTTTTCTGTCTCCTAACAGTGTTGCTGGAATCTACATATCTACTCCAGCAGCACTAATAATTTGAGGACCCAATAATGAATGTGCGCAAATCTTTAGGGGCCAATGAACTCCATCCTAGAGTCATAAAGGAGCTGGCAGAAGAACTCTCAGAACAATTGTCTATTATCTTTGAGAAATTATGGAGGATGGGGAAGGGCCCGATGAATGGAGAAGGGCTGATGTTGTTCCTAGCTTCAAAAAAGGAGAACCTGAGGACTGCATGCCAGTCAGACATCAATCCCAGGGAAAATGCTAGAGCACATTATTTTATTTATTTATTTAGGCATCATTCATGAGCATGGAACTCTCAGATTACAAAGCAGTCTGTCTGCATACACCTTGAAAATAATGCAGTGATTACTAGAAGCCAACACAAAACCTGCCAGACTAGTCTGATTTCATTGTTTGATGGGATCACCTCTGTGATGGGCTGTGGGAATGCTGTGAGCATAATCTATCTTGACTTTAGCAAAGCTTTTGACAGTGTCTTCCATGATATCCTAACTAGCTAAAAATGGGCTACATGGAACAACTATCAGGTGGAACCACAGTTGGCTACAGAATCCAACTCAAACAGTGCTCATCAGTGGCACCTTTTCAGACAGCAGGCTTCAGTCCTGGGCACAGTGATCTGGATGAGGAAGTGCAAAGAGCGATGATTAGATCTGCAGATGACAAAACTGGGTGGAATAGCTAATACCCTGAAAGACCAAAACAAGGTGATCTTGATAGGTCAGAGCACTGAAAGCAAAGCAGCAGAACGAAATTCAGTAGGGATAAATGCAAAGTTCTGCACCTACAAACAAGAAACTAAATGCATCATTACAAGATGGGGAATCCTTGGCTCAACAATACTCCAAGTGAGAAGGATCTTGGGATTGTTGTGGATCACAAACTGAATATGAGTCAACAGTGTGATATGGCTGCAAAAAGAGCAAATGCTATTTTAGGCTGCATTAATAGAAGCATCACTTCACAATTGCATGAAATACTAGTTCCTCTTTACTTAGCACTGGCACTGTGGAGTGCTGTGTATACAGTGTAAGAAAGATACAAACAAGCTGGAAAGCGTTCAGAGAAGGACAACAAGGATAATCCAGGGACTGGAGCAAAGCCCTATGAGGAGAGAGTAAAATAACTGCGTATGTATAGCTTTTGAGAAGAGAAGACTGAGGGGAGATGGTGTTCTACAAGTACTTGAAAGGCTGTCACAAAGAGGAAGGGGAGGATCTATTCTTGATCATCCCAGATTGCAAGAATGATGGGCTCAAGTTACAAAGCGACAGATTCCAGCTCTGACCATTTGGGGGACTTGACCATTTTCACAGATGATTCTAGGTCAGAGCTACTCTAGGAGTCCCACCTGGTCTTCCTCTGGCCAGTAGGTGGTGGTACAACATAGAATTTTGGCCATTTTAAGGAAACAATTATGTGATGATTGCTGAGATTAAAACTTGAGTACAGAATTAGGTTGGCAGTAATCACATTTATAAGGTGCCTAGCACAACACTAGGCATCTTGGGAATAATCATCATGTATGAATTAGCACAAAATATGTGGTTTTTGGATTGATGCTACAATCCACAGCTGGGCCAGATTTGCACATTTTTCTGGTAGTTGGGATGCTGCCAACTGTCTGGACAGCTATGCAGGGTTAGCTTTCAGGACATACAGGCCTCTTATGCAAAACCTACAAGGGTAATGAGAGGGATGCTGCCAAAATTCAGCATTCTCTGGGATCCTATACCAGAATTTTCCACAACAGTGTTGGTTTTGACATCGTCACTAGGGATTCCAACAGGATGTGTCATGCATCTGTACATCTGATGAGTGGCACAAAACTCGGGGTTTCTGCTACAAAGCAACATCAAACTTTACCATGGATTTCATGGGAATGCAACTAAAACTCAGCCAGCTTCACTCCTGTTTTACTTTTTGTTTAAATGGAAATAGTAAGCATTTGTGGTTATGACTGCTTAGTAGGTGACTCACTCAAGAGAGTTTAACTGAGCCCTGAGGCACAAAATGCACAGCAGTACTGAGGATGTTCACCAGTTGTCTTTTGCTGTAAAAACTGGAGGGAAACCTGACACATAGGCTAGCTTTTGACATTCTTCAATATTACTGGAACCAGGGTAGGCAGGCCCCCACTTGCACAGTTAGATTGTTTTAACTGGATGGTGACTGCAGGAATGTCCCATACATTTTACTATCCAGGATATGAGGAAAACTGCAGAATAGTTTTATGCTGTCTTTGTGAGTGTGAAGAATCCTCACTAGATGTATCTGTACAAATTTGCACGAGGTGACACAAAACTCAGGGTTTTGGAATGAGTTTTTGGGGGGAATGCCACATTTTGGGGGTGGGTGGGCACTTTTTAATTAACAGAACTGAGTGTGTCTAATACACTTCCTTTCCATTACAGTGTTCCAACTGTACTTCATCAGCAGCCCTTCACAAAGTGAAGCATCAGTGCAGTGAGTGTGGCGTCCCTTCTATTAACCGCTGGGCATCAATACTTCTTGGATGTACACAGTCTCAAGGACTGGCCATACTTGTTGCTTGCATGAAATGCTGCCATGAGGTTCAGGTCCCTGCCTGCAGCCAGTTTACATGAGCAGAACAGGGTTGTGGAGGCAGGACATCCTGGAGAGCACTCAGTGATAGGATCACCATAAGTCAAACAGTGCACAATGACAACAAACCAACAGGTATCACGTGAATATGGGATAGCTACACACCATCATGATATGTGTGAAGCAGCAGATCTCAGGTTAAAAAGAAATTTGATGACATCTGAAAAAATAAGAAAAAACAATTGCAATTAATGGAGCATTGTTCCCTTGCCTCAGAGCCAGGCCAATGCATACTGCCAGCCTACCCACCCTCTGGATTGCCCTGAGAGGATCAGCAGGGCAAGCCAAAGAGGGGATT